CTACTACTACTACTACTACTACTACTACTACTACTACTACTACTACTACGACCACTACTACTACTACTACTACTACTACTACTACTACTACTACTACTACTACTACTACTACTACTACTACTACTACTACTACTACTACTACTACTACTACTACTACTACTACTACTACTACTACTACTACTACTACTACGACTACTTTACGACGGCCACTACCACTACTACTACTACTACTACTACTACTACTACTACTACTACTACTACTACTACTACTACTACTACTACTACTACTATTACCACCACCACCACTACCCTCTCCTCCCTGTCCTCCTCCTCCTTCGAGGCTTCAAGATGCGGACAGTGAGCTCTAATGAGGCAAGGCCTCCTCCTCCATCCTCTTCGTCTTCCTCTTTTTCCTCCTCCTCCTATCCTCCTACTCCCCCTCCTCACCCTCTCCTTGTCCTCCGCGTCCCGCTCCTTCTTGATCCCTCGTAGTTCCTCCCTCCTCCCTCCTCCCCCCCTCCCTTCCCCCTCCCACCTTCCCCCTCTCTTTTCTTTTTCTCCCTCCTCCTCACTCCGTCTTCTTCTTCTTCTCCTCCTCCTCCTCCTCTTCCTCCTCATCCCCCTCATCCTCCTCCCCCATTCCCATCCTCATCCTCATCCTCATCCTCCTCCCACCGGGACCTTGAGCCTGCCGGCCCACGCCCGCACGCGCTCAGCGTTGGCCTGCTGCAGTTGCTGCTGCATTAGGGCCCTCTGCTGCGAGTACTGCTGCGGCTTCTCTGAGTCGTCCGCCGCCCACGCCGGCAGCAAGGGGGCCTCCTCGGGGCCGCCAGCGAGGGGATCAGAGTTAGAAAGCAGAGGGGCGGGGCGAGGAGGAGGGGCAGGGTTGGGGCAGGGCGCCGAGGAAGGGAAGGAGGAGCGGGAGGACCATGCAAAGCAGGCGGAGCAGGGGGATGATGAGGGGGAGGAGGCGGTGGGGAAGAGCAGACGGATGATGACGACTATGAAGAGGAGCGTCAAGAGGGCGGAAGACTGCTGGAGGAGGAGGAGGAGGAGGAGGAGGAGGAGGAGGAGGAGGAGCACGGGTGGAAGGAGGAAGAGGGGCAAGCAGGAGGAGCAGGAAGAGGAGAGCGGGATCAGGGTAATGAGGTGGGAGACAGCAAGAAGGCCGAGGAGGAGAAGAAGGGGGCCGATGAGGAGTGGAAGGTGGAAAAGCGGGAGGGCGGAGGAAGGGGCCACGAGTAAGGAGGCACGGCGAAGGAGGAAAGAGGGAGGCAGGAGGATAATCAGGGAGGTAGGCGCCATGGAGGGGGAGCAAGGATGAGGCAGAGAGGAGCAGGCAGGAGACAGGAAGGAGGGAGCAAGAGGAGGAGCCAGGGTCCCTGTGGGAGAAAGAGGAGGTGGAGGAGGGGGTGTCGTCCAGTCGTTGGGTCGTTTCATGCTTCTCTCCATCACCTTCCCTGCTCTCTTCCCCATCCGCCGAGCGCAGGTCAGGAGGAGGGCCATCGAGGGCCCCAGCCTCTCGAGCAGAACCACCCTCGAGGTGGAGAATTGGGCCAGCAGCCACTCCGGCTCGAGATTCGAGATCTGGTCGCGCGGCCGTCGCGGGGGTGCCCTCGCACATCTCCCGCCTTCTGGGCGGGGGGGGCTCCGCCTCGCGCCCGCGAGCCTGCGCAGCAGCGAGGACCCAGACCCCCTCGAGTCATGAAAAAATCACGACGGGAGTTTTTTTCGCTATTTTCGGCCTCTGGGGGCCCCTACCGAGCCTCGGGTCTGTCAAAAAACGACTCAGGATGAAGAACCGGTCTCGGGGAATGGGTCCAAACCGCTGGGGGTCGACGTCATGAAAAAATCACGACGTCGGGGGTCTGGGGAGGAAGAGGTGCCGCCCGACGGCATGGCGGCACACCCCTCCGAGAGGGCAGGAGTGCTGGGCCACCGAACTTCACGCACCGCGCCCCACGATGTGCAGCGCGCGGCCACCTCTGCGACCGCGCGCCGCCGCCCTGGAGGAGGCCTGCTTCGCGGCCAGGGCCGCGTCACGAGGTCAAGCCGACCCACCGGTGGCAGCAGGCTGCAGGAGGCCCGTGGCGCTGGGGAGGGTCGGCCGCCGGACCCGCGACTCGCCGCCGATGCCCGTGGCGGCCCTGGGCAACCAAGGGGAGCGGAGGCCCCACCCCTGGAGGCTTGTTGGCGGCGCGGGGGGAAGGGGGGAAGGCCTGTTAGAAGGAGGCCGTTTCCTATAAGGCGCGGGCCTTTCTCTGAAGATGTAAAGGCCCGCACATTCTAAGGAGCAGGGGTGCTTCTTAGAAGTCGTCCCCCACTCCTCCTGCCCCTTTCCGCGCGTGGCCGACCAGCACCAACACAGGCGGTTGCCTCCACGGGGGGGGGGGGGGAAGACGGCCCTGGGTCGTATCTTGGCGTTGGTGGAGTATTCTGGCCACCGACGAAGTCCGAATCTGACCACCATCGCCGAGATAAGGGATCACCTTCCCTCGGCGGAGGCACGTCGCCGCCATTGGTCTTGGTGTCTACCTTTGGGCCACCGACACCCCCCTTCGAAGGCAATCCGGAGCCCATCTGGAATAGGCGATCGCCGTCTCATCCATGACCCTGCTCGCGCCCCGACCCTCACGGGGAGCCAGAGCGGAGGTATGTGGACAGGTTCTTCCTGGGCTCCGACGCCACGATTTTGATCCACGCCCTGCTCCACCTGGCGCCCAGAGTGAGGGGCAGCAGCAGGGGCACGGTGGGAGCCGCACATACATGCACAAAGGTCTGCGGGCATCCGCCCACCACGTGGTGTGCACGAGTTGTTGAAAGCCGCACGCTCGTGGACCTACCCCGACAAATGTCCACTGTGCTGTGCGCGGTGGCGTTGGGAACATAGTTGCATGGTCATGCTCCTGCCCCCAACACGGATCGAGCGTCAATCGTCGATGGAGAGCGACGTCTCGGTCCGCTCCCTTGCCGCGCCGCGCCTCCAGCAGTGAAGGCCTGGCGCGAAAAACTGCCACCTGGGCCCCTGGCAGCCCGAACCCCTCGAGGGATGCGGAGCTGGCTGCAGGACCGGCCGCCCCGCCTCGGGCGTCCGCGGGGCGCCACGGCGTGGGACGTCACGAGCGGCGAACATATCCGCAGCCGCGCCCTCGCGGTCTGGACTGGGGGCGCGATCCCGCAGACACACGCGGTCGCGCGGAGACATTGCGCACGGGGCACCCGCGAAGAAAAACGTCCCGTATCCGCGGGGTCGCGGCTCTCGGGGCCCGGCCCGCAAGGCCGCGGATACGGAGATGTTTTTCGCTCGCGAGGTGCGTGGGGGGGGGGGCGGGGGGGCACGGCGCCGCCGCGGCGCGGCCTGGCGCGCGCGGGCCCGCGACTGGGCGAAGCTGCCGAGGCCTGGCCCTGACAACACAACGGCCTCCCGCAGCGCGCTGGGCGCCACTGCGGGGCATGGGCGCGGATGCCACTCGGGATCCCCTGCACGTGCGGCGAGATTGTCTTTTGGCTCCGGAGGGCCCCTCACCACGCAGCGCGCCGAGAGCAGCGTCGACGGGCCCGCCGACTCCTGCGCCGACCAGCCCGACGACGCCTACGCCTGGTACCGGCTGGCTCGCCGAACAGAAAGAGTACGAGGCTGAGGTCCGCGAGGGGCTGTTGAGCGCCCCCCGCTGCGGCGAGCTCCTGGACAGCAGCGCGAGCAACGGATGCCGCGGGGAGGCGGAAGAACACGCCTACGATGCGGGTAAATTGTGTATCCATATCCACTGCGGCCTGGACTTTCTTGAAAAGGGACGCCCGAAGGCCGAGGCGCAGTGGATATGAATCCGCCGATTTTGCGTGCGAGGTCAATGACCATCAGAACAGCCTGAGCCCCAATTCCTGTCAGCTCTACTGAGGGGCGAGTCCCGGGGTGACTCTGCCGGGGTGGTGGGGCGGGGGGGGGTCGATTTAATTCCCGGGGCGGAATCGGAGCTCCAGCTCACTCTAAAACGGTTCCCTCGCCCAGAAATGCCCCAACATAAGCCAAGAGGGCCCCGAGTCGCCGAACAATCGCTACAAGACGCCGAAGATGTCCCTAAGACGGCCCCAGAAGCCTCCAAGATGCCCTCAGAAGCCCTGATAAGGCCTCCCAGAGAAGCCCCAGAGAAGCAACAAGCGTTCCACCCCTAGGGAAAACGTTCCATTCCAGCAGATTCGCCTCTTGGGCCTTCTGAGCGTCGGACGCAACAAAAGAGCCCCGAAAGGCGCCTGACAGGGCGCCAAGACGGCGGAAGAAGTGCCGAAGACGGCCCAAGAAGCCCCAACAGGCCCCCAGAGGCCCCCAAAAGGCCTGGAGAGGCCCCAAGACTCTTCCAACTGGCCCCGAAGAGGCCCCCTAAAGGGCCCCAAGAATCTCAAGACATGCATCCAAGACGCCTTCTAGAGGCCTCCAAACTGCCTCCAAGACTTCCCCCGAGAAGCCCAAAACTGGCCCCGATGCTTCCACGACGCTTACGGCTGAACGCAAGGGCTGCAATTCAAAAGATTCTTCCACGTTTTCACATCTTCTCCCGTCTTCGGTGACCGCCGAACATCTCCAAGAACCGCCGAACATCTCCTCATCCTCGTCATGCCCCTCCTTCTCCCCATCCCCCTCTTCCACTTCAAGCTTCCTCCTGCTACTCCTCATCCCCAGGGTCCTGCTACTCCTGCCCCTCCCCCCGTCCACCCCCCACCACCTCATCATGATCCTCCTCCTCCTCCTCCTCCTCCTCCTCCTCCTCCTCCTCCTCCTCCTCATCATCATCAGCATCATCATCCTAGTCCGTTGCCTCCATTCCCAATCGTCATCATCATCCCCGCCGCTCGCCGTCGTCGCTGGGCATGACCGCCATCGTGCGCTTCCCGCAGCAACAGAAGCGTCCCGGATCGGCGGCACTGACCAGAGGCACTGGCTAGAGGCCACTCCAGGGTCCTCCTTCTCCGCCCCCTCCTCCTCCTCCTCATCATCCTCCGCCGCCTCCTCCTCCTCATCATCATCCTCCTCCTTCTCCTCCTCCCCCTCCTCTTAATGATGATGATGATGATGATGATGCTGATGATGATGATGATTATGATGATGATGATGATGATGATCATCATCATCAGCATCATCAGCATCATCATCATCATCATCAGCATCATCATCATCATCATCATCATCATCATCATCATCATCATCATCATCATCATCATCATCATCATCATTATCAGCGTCACCATCAGCAGCATCTCAGCATCAGCGTCAGCAGCAGTAGCCGCAGCAGCATCAGAAGCAGCAGCTGCATCAGCATCAGCATCAAAATCAGCATCAGCATCAGCATCGGCATCAACATCAGCATCAGTATCAGCATCAGCATCATCATCAGCATCATCATCATTATCATCATCATCAGCAACACCATCAGCATCATCATCATCATCGTCATCAACATGAACCTCATCAGCATCCTCATTCTCCTTATCCTCATCACCGTCATCAGGCACATCACCTCCTTCGAATATGTTTCACCATGTCTCCTGCAGTCCCTCAATCTCTCACGACGATAGGACTGCAAAAGCATGTGTAAGCACACGCGGGTGTAAAGATATATGTGTATATATGTGTATAAATACACACATGTGTATATAAGGTGCATGTGTATTCTCTCTGCCCTCTCATCTCTCCCCTCTCCCCTCTCATCACCGTCCTCCCTCCTCCTCCCTCCTCCTTCCTGCTCCCTTCTCCTCATCCTTCTCTGGCTTGAACGGCACGCGTGAGCTGATTCTCTGACGACTGCATGTCCACTCCCGCCCGCCCGCTCATTTCTGGCAGCCCCAAGGCCTTGGGCAGGCTCCACACGACGGCGCCCACGTACTGCTGCTGGGAAGACGGCAAAGGTGTAGCGGCGGGGGCCACCTCTGAGATCTTTTTGTCAGGACGCTGATGCCCCAACCATATACCGCAACTGAAATCAAAACAAACGTTGCGAATACCATGCCACTCACCTTCAAGTCGGAGGGGTGAACAAGAGGAGGAGAGAGAGGAAGGAGAGAAAGGGGGATGAAGGAAGGGGAGAAAAAGGACCCGCGCCTGAAGGGGATGCCTAATTTGGAAGCATTCCGCTGCATTTGGGGACGTTCCACCCTCCTGAGAAAGAAACAGCACCAAACAAACGCGCAACTGGAAATATCGGCTCCCAGCTTGCCAGCCTGAGGGATACGCATGGGGGCCCGCGGGCAATCAAACATACCCTCGCCATGCAAGCGCGCATACACACATTCCCTCCTCCGGCAAGGTGACGGCACCGTCGCGAATGATCGATCAGGGTACTAACTGCCATGCCACATTGCTACCAGACATTCTACACACACAAGCATACACACATACACACACGCACGCACAATCTTCCTCTTCTGGCGTGGTGGCGGCACCGTCGCGACTGCTAGCAAACGGACACGGATTACCGCGTGGATAACCACCAACCGGCGCAAATGGGAGACAACGCAAAGCGAATCGGCATGCTGGGCAAACTGCACCCGGCTTAATGGGTGGCGCGGGCAAGGCCAGCGAGGAGATTTGTTTATCACCCACCGGGGGGGAACGTGCCCAAAGGGGGGAATGTTACAAAGGCAGAGGCAGCCGGGCGAGGCATAAGTGAGGCCAGCAGGCATGACTGGGTCCTATGGGCAAATGGGGGAGCGCCAGCCAACAGAGACCTGCCGGCAGCAGGGCGAAGAAAACCAGAGGACGTGGAGAGGCGTGCCAGAGGACGCGGACAGGCGTGGCGGCGGAATTGGTCCAGTAGCGTGCATCCGACTCACCCAGCACGCTGGCGAAAACGTGGGGCAATGCGGCAACCTGGCGCCCGCCTGGGTCTCCCAGTCGAGCACGGCCACCCGCAGCTCGCCGCTGGGTCGACCCAGCCGACAGCCCCACGACGCGAGGGAACGCACCCAAAAGACCGGGCCACGCGAGGACTCCGTGGAGGCGTGCGAGCGGCACTGCCAGACGCCACGCCAGCGCCCTCTAGGCGAGCGGCAGAAGAAAGAGCGGAAGACAAGCCCCCGACGCGCGAGGCCCCCGGGTAGCCTAACGTAAACAACAAAGGGCAGCCCAGCAGGGCGGCCCAGCCCCGTAGGCGGTCCACACACACACACACTTCGTCTGGCGGAGTGCCGGCACATACACACACACACACACACACACACACACACACACACACACACACACGCGCGCGCCGAAGAATCCAATCGGCGAATGAGCGAGCGGGGGTGGCCCTCAAAGTACCCGAGGCCCCTTCTGAAGCTGCGTGGCTGACCCGGAAACGCCTGAAAGCCGCGCGTGGGCGAAAACAGGCCGAAAAGCCAACACACACAGACACACACACACACACACACACACACACACACACACACGCACGCACGCACGCACGCACGCACGCACGCACACACACACACAGACACACACTCGCATACACCCAAACACTGTTCCTCCTGCGGCGAGGTGACGACACCGTCGCGAAGCGCTGACCCAGCACATGCTCACGCGAATCCCCACCAGGCGTGGCAAATGGGTGGACTGGATGGGCAGTCGCTGGCAGAAAAAGGCGGGACGCGGATGCACTCCGAAAGCGCCGCAGCGCTCACGCAGTGTTGGGAGGCAGGCGCACACAGCAAAGACCAACTGACAAAAAGCGATGTGTTCCGAAAGTCCCGGGCAAGGTACGCTGGGGGCCGCTCGCGGGCCGCCTGGCCCTCTGGGCGGCCAAGCGGTCACGCTCCGGGGTTTGGTCTCGCCGGGAAGCTGCCTCTGGCCCCGAGGATGGAGGAGCGGAGCGTATCCAAACGCGGCGGGGGGTAACAGATTTGACATCGGCTCCGCGCGCGGACCCTCCCCTTCCATCCACCCTCCCTCCCTCCTCCCTCCTCCTCCTCCTCCTCCTCCTCCTCCTCCTCCCCCTCCTCCTCCTCCTCCTCCAACTCTCCCTCCTCCTCCACTCCTCCTCCCCTCCTTTCTCCTCCTCCTCCTCCTCCTTCTCCTCCTCCTCCTCCTCTCCTCCTTCTCCTCCTCTCCTCCTTTTCCTCCTCCTCCTCCTCCTCCTCCTCCTCCTGCTCCCCAGTGTTCCTGCTCACCCTCGCCCTCATCCTCCTTTTACCCTGATGCATGTGAGAATTGCGCCTCTTAGATTGCATACAGAGGATCCGTTTAGTGCTTACTGGTGCTACTCAAACCTCGATGTTCTAATACACGTTCCTTGGCTTGACTAGTACACTTATTATTCGTGTTCACATCATGGTCGTTTTCAAGTATTCGTCGTCCGTCTATTCCTCCCTCCCCTTCACCCTCCGTTCCTCCTCCCCCTCCCCCCTCCGCCTCCTCTTTTTCTTCCTGCTCCTCCTCCTCCTCCTTCGCATCTCACTCCTCCTTCACATACCTCCTGCCACCTCATCGACCTTCTCATTTTCATCCCCATCATCACCATCATCATCAACATCATCATCACCATCATCATCATCAGCATCAGCATCAGCATCAGCATCAGCATCAGCATCATCCTCATCCTCATCCTCATCCTCATCCTCATTATCATCATCATCATCATCATCATCATCATCATCATCATCATCATCATCATCATCATCATCATCATCATCATCATCATCATCCCGCTGGCACGCACTGCTGGCCGCCCCAGGCTTCATGGTCACAGGCCTCATCTACGCCGATGGCTCCTGCCTGAAGCATTGGAGCCGCCCGCAGGCTGCGAGAGCGGGCTGGGGTTTCGTCGGCCTCGAGAACTTCCAGGCCGTCAGCGGCTACTACAGAGCGGTGCCTGGACCAGTCCAATCTTCGCCCAGGGCCGAACTCTGGGCGGTCATTCAGGTCCTGCTGGTGGCCGTTCCGCCCTTCTGCATCCACACGGACCACCTGGAGGTTATCCTCGGCCTGGCGCGCGGGCGCGCGTGGGCACGCTGCCCCAGGCGTTCGAATCGCGATCTGTGGGTGCAGCTGTGGGCCAAGTCGGATGACCACGGCGGCATCTCCTCGGACGTTCGCATCATTCACGTCCGTGGGCACCAGAGCGGCAACGACCAACATCGGCATGGCAACGACTGGGCGGACGCGCTCGCTCGCTTGGGATCGGGGCTCCACGGCTTCACGGACCAGCAGAGGGCGGAGTCCAAGGTCCTCCTTCGACACCTTTGTCAGACGGCCTGCTGGGTGGCAGCGGTGCACGACGGCCTGAAGTCTGGGGCCTTGGCGCCGAATCGTGGTCCGCGGCCGCCGCGCGCGCGAGGGCGGCGAACGCGGCAGCTGGGGCGACGCCGAGGTGAGCCATGCAAGACGGCAGCCTCTGCTCATGCTCCGTTCTTCGTTGCCTCGTGGAGGCGATGCGCATGGTGCGCTAGAAAAGCTCGCACGTTGGCTGGTCGCGCACGTATGCTCCGCCAAACGTGCAGGGGGAGGGAGCTCAAGGCGCGGATCCAGGCGGTTCGGGGTGATGTGGTCGAGCGGGCCTCTGAGCTTCCTCTTCCCCCCCCCCGCGCCCAGCGGCCGCCCCAGCAGCCCCCGCCGCTGCCCCAAAACACCCCCCTGTTTCTGCTCTACGGGGGTTCCCAGAGGCGGAAACTGGCCCCAGTTTTTGGAGCCCACGAGGAGCATACAGAGGCGCCCCAGGATGCCTGCATGGCGAGCCAGAGTTCGGCGGCCCCAGGCGCGGGGGAGGGTGCCTCAGTCGGTCTTTCTTTGCCCCAGGCTGCCCAGGGGCCTCCTCGCAAACGAGAGCGTTTCGCCGATGACATCGAGCCGGCGGAATGCAGTCTGGCCACGTCCACCGCCCACCAGGCGATGGTGGCTGCCGCGGCGCTGGTGGGAGCGGCGCTGACAGCTTCTGTGCCTTTCTCTTCCTCTGGGCCATCGGCTGGACCCGCTTCTGGAGCTCTCGCGACAAATCCTGGCTCGTGTGGGGCCGTCGCGGATTCCTGGGAGGCCCTGCGCCGTCTCGCTGCATCTGCTCCTTCTTCTCGCACCGTGCGGCCTCGGAATTCTGTGTCTTCGGAGTCGGCTGGTTCGCACCCCGGAGCTCTTGCGCTGGAGACCCCTGTGGGGGATCCGGCTGGATTCCCACCGCCTGCGGTTGGCGGGTTCCCTGGAGCTCTCGCGCCCAGTCGGCCGCGGGCCAGGCCTGCGGGCCCACCAGGGAGTGCGGCCCTCCGTCCCAAAAGAGCTCGAGGGGGGCAGCCTGGGGCGAATTCGGCAACCCCACCTGCTGCGCCTCTCCCCGAGTCCGGCCCCGTGCCGCCTGAGGCGTGCAGAGGGCATAGGCTCAGGGTCGCAGGCGAGTTCGTGGCGTGCACGGGTTGTGGATCCTATTCGCGAGGCGCGGCTCGTGGTGGCCTGCTGCTGCCTTGCGATCATACCCAACTCCGTCGCGAGCCGAACAAGCGTGATCGATTGAATCGGATCTTGCGAGGTTTTCGCCCAGACGATCCGAAGGTCAGGATTCCTGCCCATCGTGCCCTTGTCGTCGGAGATGAGGTGCTGGCATGGCGATTGCTCGCGTGATCTGCCCGCGTTCGACTGTCATGTTTTTTTTGTCTCCTCCACTGAGGCGCGGAGAGGACGCCCTGGCCGCGATGCTCGTCGGGGTCGTTGGGCCGCCTCCTCGCTCGTTCCGCTCATTCGACGCGCGCGGCGCTCGATCCGAGCTCGGTCCCGATCATCATCATCATCATCATCATCATCATCATCATCATCATCATCATCATCATCATCATCATCATCATCATCATCATCATCATCATCATCATCATCATCATCACCACCACCATCATCATCATCATCATCATCACCATCATCAGCATCAGCATCATCATCATCAGCAGCAGCAGCAGCGGCATCATCATCATCATCATCATCAGCAGCATCAGCATCAGCATCATCATCAGCAGCAGCATCATCATCAGCATCATCATCACCATCATCATCAGCAGCATCATCATCAGCATCATCATCATCACCATCAACATCATCATCATCAGCAGCAGCATCATGATGATCATGCTGATCATCATCATGATCATCATCACCAACATCATCAACATCATCATCAGCATCATCATCAACATCAGCATCATCATCATGATCATGATGATGATCATCAGCATCATCATCAGCATCATCGTCACCGTCACCATCATCAGCAGCATCATCCTCCTCCTCATCATGATCATCATCAGCAGCATCATCATCAGCAGCAAAAGCAGGATCATCATCAGCATCATCAGCATAACCCTAATCACCTTTACCCTCACCCTCATCCGCATCATCATCCTCATCAGGATCCTCATCCCCTCATCATACTCCTTCCTCCCATTCCTCCTTATCCCACCTCCTCAACCTCGTCCTTTTTCTATCGCCCCTTCCTGCTCCTCCTGCTCCTGCTCCTGCTCCTGCTCCTCCTCCTCCTCCTCCTCCTCCTCCTCCTCCTCCTCCTCCTCCTCCTCCCCCTTCGCCTCCGCCCTCCTCCTCCTCTTCCTCCTCCTCCTCCTCATCCTATGTGTCGCTGCCAGTCATCCTCCTCCTATTCCTCCCGCCCCATCCTCCTCCATCCTCCTTAGATTCCTCCCTCACCTTTCTTCTCCTCCTCCTCCTCCTCCTCCTCCTCCTCCTCCTCCTCCTCCTCCCCCTCCCCCTCCCCCTCCTCCTCCTCCCCCACCCTCCCTCCCTCCCTGGACATTCCATCCCTCTCGGCGCCTGGCCGTCCGCCCCGGCACTGCCGGACCAGCGGGGCGCCTGCAAGACGCGGCGGCCGTGGCGTGGAGACGTCTTGCCACCGCGGCGGGCGGCGCCGCCCGCGAGCCAGCGGGACTGCGGCGGCGGCGAGGCCTCGAGGAGCGGAACCTCGGGGGGATTGGGGGTGCGAGGGCAGGGCGGCCTCCTCCTCCGCCCGCCCTCCTCCCTCCTCTTCCTTCCCCCTTCTCCTCCGCCCCCCTCCTCCTCCTCCTCCTTCTCCTCCTCCTCCTCCTCCTCCTCCTCAACCTCCTCCCTCTTCCTTTCTCTTCCTTCCTCTTCCTTATTCCTTCCTCCTCCTACTCCTCCTCCTTCTCCTCCTCCTCCTCCGTTTCTTTTTCTTATAAACCTGCCACCTCGCCGCTGGGCACGGAGTGGGCGTGTCCTTAGGTCATGGGCCCAATCCTCTAAGACTCATTCCTCACCTCTGAGGAATTATAAAAAAGGCCCAGGGCCCAAATTGCAAATTCTTCCGTGGCTTAGCGCGGTTCACTTGGCATTCCCGGCGTCTTCTCACGCGACTTGTTCTGGCCCATGAGGGCCCCAGGACGGGCCAAGAGGGCCCCACGAAGCCCCCAAGACGGTCCAAGGCGGCCCCGAGTCGCCGAACGATCGCTCCAAGACGCTCAAGATGGCCCCCAGACGACCCAAGAGGCCTTCAAGACGCCAAAAGAGGCCTCCCAAGAGGGCACCCAAGAGGGCACCAAGAGGCCAAAATCACTGACATTCCTTGGGTGCTTGAAGGATTTGGGCGTTCTCGCCTTTTCGGCTTCCCGACGCTCCCAGATGGCCCTAGAGGCCCCCAAGACCGCCCCGACGGCCCAAAAAGCATCCAAGAGGGCCCCAAAACAGCCCAAGAGGGCCCCAAGACAGCCCAAGAGGCACCCGAAACGGCCGAAGAGGGCCCCAAGACGGCCCCAAAAGGGCCCCAAAAGAGGGAGCACGAACCGAAAATCGGAGCCTTCCGCCCCAATAGGCTCCCAGGAAGCCCCAAGAGGCGCCCAGGCGGCCCCAAGAGGCCCCCAAGAGGACCCCAAGAGGACTCAAGAGGCCACCCAAAGAGGCCCAAAAGAGGCTCCAAGAGACCCCCAGACGGCCCCCAAGAGGCGTCCAAACTGCCTCCAAGAGGCCCTCGAGAAGCTTCTCACGGAATGCCAACGAACATCCAATAGACTTCATACCCACTACCCAGGCACGGTGGCGGGATGGGCCGAAAACCATTAGATAATAACTCCTCCTTTTCTCACCCCGAGGCCAGCTGAAGGGCGGGACGGGCGTTTCGCCTGAGACTTCCTTGAAAACTTGCAGCAGCCACAGCAGCAGCAGCAGCAACAACGACAACAAACAACAACACACAAACACACAAACAAACAAACAAACAAACAAACAAACAAACAAACAAACAAACAGACAGACAGACAGACAGACGGACAAACAAACAAACAAACAAACAAACAAACATCACAGATGGAGGGCGGGTCGCTTGCATCATGTGGCCCTCGCCTGAGCGCCGCGCACATTCGACTGGAAGATGTGCAAAAGCGTCGCTGATTGAGGGCGGGCGGTGTTCAAAATGTGGCCCTCGCGTTAGCGCCGCGCATACTCGCTATCACAACTCAAAAGCTTCACGGGTCGAGAGTGGGCGGTTTTCAAAATGTGGCTCTCGCCTTAGCACCGCACACATGCTCCGTAAAGGTTTGCAAGAGTGTAGCGGGCTGAGGGCGGGTGGATTTCGATAATGTAGCTCTCGCCTTAGCGACGCGTGCAAGTGTATTAAGGCACTGCAAACGTTGCACGGATTGAGTGCGGCTCTGTTTCAAAATGTGGCTCTCGCTTTAGCGCCGCGCACACTCGTCTTAAACATGTTCAAGAGCTGCACGGATTGAAGGCGGCTTGTTTTTTAACTGTGGCTATCGAGTCAGCGCCGCACACATCCGTGCTAAAGGTTTGCAAGAGTTGCACGGATTGAGGGCGGCTCGTTTTCAAGATGTGGCTCCCGCCCCAGCGCCGCGCATACTCGTCTTAAACATGTGCAAGAATGTGACGGATTCCCAGGGCCAACGTACCAGAAAAGAAGGCGTTACGGAATGACTCAGGACTACAAGGGCGCGACAGTTACGTTGATTTGCGGTGTTGAAGTCCCAGGGACGGCGTTAAGGCACGACCCAGGATCTTCAAGCAGTTGTATCCCAACGGGGCGCCCTGCAGGGGGCTATGAAGCTGGAGCTTGGAGGAACGGTGTCGTCCAACCTCGCTGACAAGTCTTTGGTTTACACTGGTCCTAGCTCGGTGTCCCTCTTCCTCCTCCTCCTCCTCCTCCTCCTCCTCCTCCTCCACCTCCCTCTTCCCTCTACGCGTCTCCCTCTCCTCATTATACTCCTCCTCCTCCTCCACCTCCTCCTCCTCCTCCTCCTCCTCCTCTTCCTCCTTCCCATCTCCCTCCTCCACCTCCAACTCCAAATCCAATTTCGCATCCGTCCCCTGCTCCCCTCCTCCACCTCCGACTCCAACTCCACGTGTTCCTTCTCCCCCTCCCCTTCCCGCTCCTCATCCCCCTCCTGCGCACGGAATAGCGGACGACGAGTGCACGCGCCCACCGCCGCAGTGGGGCGGGGCAAACCCGCCGCCCCGCGATGGAGCTAGGGGCCGCCGCACTCCTCCTCCTCCTCCTCCTCCTCCTCCTCCTCCTCCTCCCCCTCCTCCTCTTCAGCAGCATCATCATCATCACCCCCAGTGTCATCATCACCACAACTACCATCATCGCTACCACAACCATCACACTCAGCAGCAGAATCATCACCACCACATGCAAAACCCTCAACGCCACCACAACGACCACCCTCATCACCACCACCACCATCCCCATCAACAGCACCATCCTCGTCAACAGCGCCATCATCAGCAGCCGCAACATCAGCATCGGTATCCCCCTCAGCGCCAGGATCAGCAGCAGCATACTCATCATCATCAGCATCATCATCCTCATCATCATAATCAGCAGCATCAGCATCATCAATCTAAGCATCAGCAGCATGATCAGCACCCGCATCGGCAACATCAGACGCAACAACATCATCTTCAGTACCACCCTAAACAGTACCATCATCATCAGCATCAGCATCAGCATAATGGTCTTTATTATCATCATCATCATCATCATCATCATCATCATCATCATCAGCATCATCAGCATCGTAATCGTCATCCTCGGCATTGCCAGCAACATCGTCAACATAATCATCGTCGGCATCGGCATCACCGTCGTCATCAGCACCATCACCGTTAGCATCATACGGATCATCAGCATCAACATCAACGTCAGCATCATCATCATCATCATCATCAGCATCATCATCATCAGCATCATCATCATCAGCATCATCATCATCACCATCATCATCAGCATCATCATCGTCATTATCATCATCACCATCATCATAAGCATCGTCATCGTCATCGTCATCGTCATCGTCATCGTCGTCATCATCATCGTCATCAGCATCATCATCGCACTCATCATCAGCAACATCAGCCGCATCATCACCATCGTCGTCATTAGCATAACCACCAGCACCATCCTCCTCCTCCTCATCAGCATGAGCAGCCGAATCATCTTCATCGTCATCTGCATCAACATCATCAGCATCAGCATCATCATCAGCAGCATCGCCATCGTCGTCACCTGCTGCATCATCATACTCACCATCACCATCATCCTCCTCATCACCAGTAGCAGCAACAGCACCACCACCACCACCACCAACAACAACAACAACAACGACAACACCAACAACAACAACAACAACAGCAACAAACATTGTAAGACTGTTCGCTCCTATCTGCTCACGTTCCAACCAATACGTACATCCCAAACCCTGGGTACCCGCCCTCGTCGCCTCCGATCATACTACCCCCTTCGTGGTACATCTTCCTTACCTGCCACGAGAATGTAGTGCAGCCTCTAAAACAAGGGAAGAGAGGACGGGGGGAAGGGAGAGGGGGAATAATGGAGCACGAAGGAAATTAGCAGCAGGGGGGCAAGGAGCAGAAAACAAATGATAGAACCAGACGTGCAGATCGGGTGGGCAGACCCGTAGCGGGCAGGTCGGGAAGGCGGGCCCAGGCGACCAGGTCGAGCAGGCGGGTTGCTGAAGCGTGGGTCCTGCACGAATGGCGAGGAAGTCTCCAGCGATAGCACGATTCCTAAGTAAATCGCGAGAAAGCCCAAAGCGAGAGCGTGATTCCTGAACGCGGAGGGCGCATCGTCTGAAAAAAATGCGGGGAAGTCCCACGCGAGAGCGCGATTCGTACGCACATTGTGAGGAAGTCCCGCGCGAGAGCGCGATTTGGGAATACATTGTGAGGAAGTATCGGGCGGCAGCCGTTGTTGATTCAACTCGGGGGCCAACAACACAGTTTGAAGACCTTCCCTGAACAAAAACAGAAGAACACATGTGTTGCCGGAGGGGGATCAACAATCATTATTCTTCAGATATGAGAAATCATCAACAACAACAGCAACAACAACAACAATAACCAACAACCACAACAACCATTCCAGCAACAACAACAACAACCACAACAACAACAACCACAACAACAACAACAACAACAACAACACCAACAACAACAGCATCAACAACAACAGCATCAACAACAACAACAACAACAACCACAACCACGACAACAACAACATGCTCATCTGAGGCAACAGCAGCAACATAATCCTGACCTGGCCTCCCCATCCCCCATCGCCTTCTCAGGCCGTCTCATCCCCCCCGCGCCGTCCCTTCAGAAGTGCCCGACCGAGCCCGTCGCGGTCCGAACCCCGGCAACCTCTCCAGAACACGCAGGCGCAAAACTCGAGCGTGCCCACCGACGCAGCCGGGACGTCCACGCCACGTCCGTCAACGACGCGTGCAACGCGCACGCCCGGAAGAAAACCGCCCCCCGCGTCTCGGCGGAGCGTCGCGCGGCCCAGGAGCGGCCCCTCCCGCACCTAGCCGTGTCGCCTGTCACTGGCCACTTCCCAGCCCCTGCGCCGCGGGGAACTCCGAGGAACACCCGGGGCCTGGATGCCCGCCGCCGCCTCCTCGTCCTGGCCAGAGCCG